TTTCCCTAATCTCTCATTTATCTTTCCTTCCTCTGCATATTTTAAAATGGTAAACTTTTGTATACCATTTATATAAATATTGTGTGTGTATATGTTTGTGACTGTTTCTAACAAAGAAATATACCCATTATTTGCAGGGTTTTTGCTGAGTTGAATACCCTCCTCCTTACCTAGACCTTAACACCCACAATCAAGATCCATGGGGAGTTGTGGAATGCAATTCCCCACATTCATACATGCCCTTAAGCCTTGGCTGCAGATGATCTTAGAGGGACTGAGGGATGTAGTATATCTGGGAGTAGGAAAATATATTTAGAGTATACTTGTGAGCATTTGCCTAACATTACCAATACCTTTAGGGGGTAGTCCCAGGGCACTTGGCAGACAAACTATTAGTGGCAACAGCAATAAGCCAAAACCCACATGGCAAATAGACAAAATACAACATCTGTCAGATGACTACTTTATACCATTGTGCCAGGTGCAAGAAGATAGAAAGATGAGTGGCATAAATATCTTGCCCCAAATATATTAAGGCTGTGGTCACATAGTCACGTACAAATGATGGAATAGTGCTCTCTGTGACAAACACCAGAGGTGCCATAGTTAATATGGAGTCAGGCCCAATCTCTAGCCAGATCATCTTTACCTGTCAGTGCTACTTTGCCTATGCCAACTGTACTTTTTAAATTTATCGCTTTTAGAACAATTATGTTGCTGTAATATAATGGTTTCTTCCAAGTAAGTCTTTTCCTCTATCTGGCTATAAGGTCTTTGAAATCGAGAGCTATATTCTTTTCATTTTTGTATCCACTGTATCTTGCACATAGTAGGTACTCATTAAACACGTGTTTGTTGAGTTCTTAGGTTCCACACAGTGTTCCAGATGCTGGGAAAACAAGATACAGAATTCCCAGCTCTCATAATGCTTACATTCTGGTGAAGAAGACAGACAACTGTGACTAAAGACCTTGTACAATGGCACTTAGGAGATAATTTGTACTTGCCTAGGAGTCTCTAAGTGAGTCCTTTGGAGACCCTTAGGACTGCATATTTCTGATAACATTTAACTTTGTCAAAATATTTTGAGTTGGAGTAGACACAGAATTTCTATTTCTCTAGTCTGCTGGTCCTACCACAATAGGACTGTTTGAAGGCCACTACGATGAGGGTTCAATTCAATTTAACCAACACAACACAATCTGCATGTGCAAGACACTAGAAAATATTTTCATATATTATCTCACTGGGTCATCATTTTGGTTAAAAGGCCTTTCATTACCCATATCTATCCTCCCTGTCTTGCCCCAGGTCCCTGCATTCTTAACAGGATGCTCCAAGGCACTCTATGCCTTCATCTAGTGTGGCTGCATAATACCTTGTTTGCTTTTCTGTCAGCCACATTCACTAATGGAGCTTTAGTTACGCAAGATCAGGTGGCAGGAGAAGGTGGTTGATCAAACTCCAATTCCTTTACTGTGTGACATGGTACAATTATCTAACCTCACTGAACCTCAGTTTCCACATCTGCAAATGTAAACAGTAACAATGCCTATTTTGTTGTGAGGATTAAAAAAATAATGCTCATAAAAGCTTAATATGTGCTCATCTATAGTATATTATCATTAACTATTAACTAGCACAGTGCCTGCTATATCATAGATATTCAAAGAATTAATCCCCACTTAACTTCTAGTAAATAGGGGAGAGCATGGTGCCACAATCTAGCCTTCTGACTTAAAATCTTGTACTCCTGCTGCAACATGATGCCTTGTAGATATCATGCCATTTCCCCCTAAATCATGCGCGTTATAGGTGGTATGGCCTAGACTTTCCCCCCCCACCCCACACACACACTATATAAAAGTTTAGGGCAGTAATCTTATGGGATTTTGTCTGTTTTTAGGTGCTTGAATCAATCTGGAAGAAGTAGTCTAAATACCAAAACATTAAAATTTTCAGGACATTTTAATGGATTATTGGGACAATTGAATTGAATATTAGTATCAGTAATGTATTGAAAATTTGGGATTGCTGTCCTTAAAGGGACTAATCCCTTTGCATGGAGTCCAAGACATTCTTATATTAAATTCTACTCTACAAAAAGAGTATTCGCATGGAGTTTCAATGTCTGGAATTGAGGCAGTTAAGTCATTAAAAATTGCAACGAAAAAAAAATTGCAAGGAAAAGTACTGATGCTTCCTCAGGGGCTCGGAATCTTCTTCCCTGAGTAAGCACGGTCCTTCTCTATTGAGTGCAAAATGTGAAGCCAAGAAAGTTTTCTTTCTCTTCTCACCTTTCATCTCAGTATCAATATATATTATTGATTTCAGAGAGGAAAGGAGCGGGAGAGATAGAAACATCAATGATGAGAGAGAATCACCCAGGGGCTGCCTCCTGCACACCCAACTTGGGACTGAGCCTGGGTGGGACTGAGCCCCGCAACCTGAATTGAGCCGTGACCTCCTGGCTCACAGGCCTACACTGACCCCATGCCAGCTGGGCTCAGTATTTCTTTCTTGCCTGATCCTCATCCCCAGCCACACAAGCCCTGCTGTATCTCTGAAATATTTACTGCTGGTAGCCTGCATGCAGACAGCTGAATCTTGAACAATTAACCAGTTAATTGCCACGATATTTGAATTTAATTAAAAAAGGTCTGCCACTTGACCTTGGCATATAGACGCTTATGGCATACAAACAGTTAAAAATTTTCAAAGAAAGGAATCCAATATCATTAATTTCAGGTATTGATGGGCAATTGGGATGAGAAGAATGGCTTCTTTAAAATTGTTCATATCACAATAGGTGGGCAGAGGTAGTCCATGCTCTCCCGATAATATTGTGAGTTGCTTATTAAGCCATATCTATTTTGGCAGAGACAGAAGTAAACAATTCAATAGCGTAGTGTGCTAAAGTTAATGCCATATATATATATATTGCTTTATAATAAATCACATTTATAATAAATAAAATAGATGCATGATAAAATTTTAATTCAAAACAATATAAAATGTTAACAGTTGTTTTTAGGATATGTTGTCTACTTACTGTTTTTCCTTTTTTATTTGTATTTAGCCATCCACAGTTCCTATCTTGCATTAACACATCTGAAAAAATTTTTTAAATAATTATGTAAGTAAGTTGGCACTTATCGCATTTGACCAGCATGTTCTACACCTGCATCTAACTAATGATTGTGTAGCATAGCTATTAAGAGCGCATGCTCTGGAGCCAGACTGCTTGCTCTCAAATAGTCTCTGTAACTAATGGACTATCTAACTTTGGATATCTTATCTGGACTCTCTCTCAGTTTCCTCACTTCTCAAACAATGAAGATCATCCTTCATAGGGTTGTTGTGTGATTTAAGGAGCTGAAGCATGTCTCACTGTGTGTGGGAACACAATAAACATGCAATGAATGCAAATGTTGTTGTTGTTACCATGATTACTACTTCTTTTAATCTCTGTCACACTGCGCCCTTGCGTCTGTCACTAATAAATCCAATTACTATTTCAATAGTACTGTTAAAATGCATACAATTACAATTAAATGTCATCATGCTTTGTACTTTTATGTACAGAAAAGACTGTCTCTTAGTCAGATTATAGTCAATGTTTGTATTGCGTACTTCTATTTCTCTGGCATTTAATGCCATTTGTAAAAAAACAAACAAACAAACAAAAAAAAAAACACAAAAAAACTCATCATGCACTCTAGGTGGTTCGGAATGTTTTTGTGGTTGTTAAAAGTGAAGCACATTCTTTCCTTAAACCCCAACATGGCACAGCGGGAAACCTCCAGAACTCTGATCCCACATTATCGATTGATTTAGTTGTTACATGCTCATGCTGTACTAGGTGTTAAATATTCTGATTACCACCTTTGGGCTTACTGATATGTTGCATATGTTTTCATAATGATATCACGAAACAACTCTTTGAATCAGAAAAACCTCTTTACTAATAGATCTATAGGATAGCCAACATGTTTATAAACAAAGATAAACATAATAAGTGATTTACTAAATGGCGATGAAAAAAATTAAAAATAAATAGGCTACTAATATTATAATATATAAAAATAAACATTAGGTAGGATTTTAAGGTCACTCGTATGTTGCTTTATTTTCCACTAATATTATAATTCCATAGATTTTTCATGACAGTTATCACAAAACATAATAGTGTGATTTACATTTTGAAAGAAAGTTTTGATAACCATTGTTTTATATGAGTTGATGTTTTCAATTTCACTGAATATTTGAAAATTATAAGAATACATATACAAATAATAACATACGCATAAAACCAGGGAGCTTTACATATTCATCCAGCATGCTAAATGAACATGAACTCTGAAATAAAAACAGACCAGAAAAAGTTAATAGAAACAATAATTAAATATCAATATAAAATTTAAACTTAGTATTATTGATGGCTATAAATAACTAGAGACCTGGTGCACAGATTCATGCACCAGTGTGGTCCCTTGGCCTGGCCTGTGGGGATGAGGCTGGAACCGGCAGTCCAACAGCCCCCGAGGGATGCGTGAAGCAAGAGGCAGCCAGGGAGGAGCCCAAGCCCGGACTGGGCACCATGGTGCTCCTGCTCATCCTGGCCCTGCTGCGCCTGCTGCTACTGCTTGGTCGGCTCACGGCCACTCCGCTGCAGTTCTCCGCACACCTGTCCTAGGGCAATACTGGTGTGCCCTGACTGAGAAGCAGCCGCAGGCTTGCTCCCAGTCAGTCCCGAGGCCAGTCCCGGTCCCAGTCGGGGAGTGGTGCACAGGGGGAGTGTATGTGGGAGAGGCTCATGCTGCAGCAGCTGTGCTTGCTAGCAGTGAGCCCTGCGGCACTCCTGCTGTGGGAGCGCACCAACCACTGGGGGCAGCTCCTGCATTAAGTGTCTTCCCCCTGGGGGTCAGTGCACATCATAGCAACTTATCGAACAGTTGCTTAGGCTTTTATATATATAGATAATAAAATGAGGTCCAATGTTACATTTGGCTTTATCTCACATAAAGAAAAGAATTCCTTTATAATTCACTAGTGCAACTGCAGGTGGTGAGATAACTTACATGGCTAAAACATTGTATTAGTAGGTTTGGAGGTAGGGAATGGCAAGCATTAAAAGCCCCACAAATCATGTGATATTACTTTGACCCCCTCTTGTTCTAAGCTCTAGAGGTGGGGACTAATAACTTAAAAAATAAAGTAAAAAAGAGAATAACATCAAAGAAAACATATATCAAAAGAGAAGGGAGAAGTGACATTATATAGAATGGTGAAACACAGTGCTCAAAGAATTGGTTTCTCTATTGAAACAAGTATAAATAGTCAAAGGCTGACAGATCAGTTATTTCAAATTCCAGAATCTAATTCTGGTTGCAAAACTTATAGCAACCAGAGTGCTGGTTAATTTTAAAAGGATAGCTAAATTTTGGTGTTTTAAGAAATCTATTAGGTCATTACCTGGCTACTGAGATAATGGAACAGAGACTTCATGGAAATGACATGGAATACAGTCTTTGCAAAAATAGTTTGAATAAGTCACAAAAGAAATAGGTTACTGCAGCCCTAAAAAATCAACAATAGTATCCCATAATGTGGAGGAGAATAATGTAAGTTATAGAGTTACATTATAATGCTTTAAATGCCCAATTTCCATAAAAAATTATAAGGCATACAAATAAACAGGAAATATGGCCCATTCACAGAAAAAGAAAAAAAAAAAGGATAGAAACAACCCCTGAGAAAAATCCAGGCATTGGACTAAACCGACAAAGATATTTTAAAAACTTTCTTAAATATACTCAAAGAGCTAAAAAGAATCACAAAGAACTAAACAAAAACAATGTATGTTATATATATATATATATATATAATATGCTAAGTGTCCTTCCCCCTCTGTCCGGGTTATGACATCATATAACAATGCCTGGTTTCCTCTCCCTAGCCATGACTAGCCTCCTTGCAGTTTCTTCAGCCCAGAAACACATTAGCCAGGTGGAAACAGTTTACACTGTAACCGAATGTCTGTGAAGCGTTTTCCCATGCCTCATCTCATTTGTTTACTGGTGTGATGCTGACAATTACCTGAAAGAGAAGTTGGGGTGCTTCACTGGGCTGGAAAAAGGTTAGCTAAATCCGAAAGCAGGTTTAATTAAGCAAGCTTGTTCTGTATCTATAAAAGGCTAAGTTGACTAGTGCATGCGCGATACACATATAAAGCTCTTGTTGGTGCCAAATGCACGCCTGTGTTTCGATCTGTCATTGTCAATCGTGAATTTGGTTGACACTTCTATTATAGAGAAAGGGAAAATAGCAATATTAAAATACTTCTTCTAATTAATTTCCTTTCAATGTGCACGAATTCATGCACCGGGCCACTAGTTTAAAATAAAGAGATAGAAATTTTGAAAAGGAACCAAATAGAAATTCTGGATCAGGAAGTATAACTGGAATGAGAAAATTATTCAGGGAGTTTGAGAGCACATGGAAGCAGACGGAAGGCAGAATCAGTGAATTAAAGATAGGAGATCAAAATTATATATTAAAAAAAAAGATTCAAGAAAAATGAACAGAGTCTAAAGAACCTTGGGGACAACCATCAATATACACATCATAGGAGTCATAGAAGAGAGAGGAAAGAATATTTGAAGAAATAATGGCCAAACACTTCCTAAATTTAATAACAGGTATGAATCTGCATCCAAAAATCTTGACAAACTCCAAGAAGGATAAACTGAGAGAGATATATACCAAGACATACTATAATCAAACTACCAAAATACAAAGAGAGAACTTGAAAGCAGCAAGAAAGAAGTGACTCGTCATATACAAAAGTTCTTCAATAAGATTAACAGGCATTTTCCATCAGATACCAGATAAGCAGACAGTGGAGCAACTGATTTTCTTCAGGAGGCAGAAGGAGGAATATGGTTTCCCTAATTGCCACATTGTAAAGCTGAGATTCACGAGGGCCAGGCTGTGTTCTTGAATATATCATTTCCATTTGGAAAGCTTATTGGACCCTTTCACTTTGATAGGTGCTGAGCCAAACTTGATCCATCCCAAAATGGAAACAACAGGCCAAAGAGTCACAAGGCCTTTATAGGTAAGGTGTTCGTGAAGTTCAGTAACTCTTGGTACTAGGTACTCAAGGTAATAACTGCTTTCCAAAAGGGGGATGGATACCTGTGAGTTGTGTTCGAGAACAAGTCCAAAACCCCAAGAAGGGTTTTCAGGCAGGGTTTCCAATCAGCACAAAGATCTGTAGCTCACAACAATTCTTAGGGTTGTTGGACCCCAAAAATAGTGCATCACAGCTTGCTGAACAGCTTTTAACACAGCATGTTGGCTTGGGCTCAACTAAAAGGATGCTGATTTATAGGTTAGCCAATACAAAGGACCAGTAGAATGCCCAAGTGAGGCACTTACTATCTTCCATACTCAGAGTTCAACAAGGTTCTGGGCATCCTCTTATGGAGTTGATGGAAGGGGATGGGACAAAGAGGCAAGTTTTTCTTTTACTGTCAGAAGGACTAAACGTTACAAATCTGCCCAGATAATCCCAATAAATTTTACCTGGTCAGTAGACCCATGAATTTTATCATGATTTATTAGCCACTTCTGCTGGTGGAGATGTGATAATACCATATTCAAGGATGTTGAGACTAAGACTTTTGATTTGTTGACCAGTAGGACATGATCTATATCGTGAAAGCTATGGATATCAGAGGGACAGCATGTTAAATGCTGACCCATTCACTGGTGACAAATGGCAGGTGAGTAGGTACACCAAGAGGAATACTAAAAATATACGGAAACTCATCTTGATCCTCAGGTATCTGTGGCATAGCACAGGTGGTAACGGCAATGTCCAAGAGAACATACCAAGTGACATCATTCTGTATAATGGATTCACTTATAGTCACAAAATCTGGAACAGTTTGGATATGGAAGAAACAACTGGATTCTATTGGTGATAATCTATTGTAAGTCTCCAACTCCATTAGCAAATTTCACTGGGTTGCTGAACTGAGATAATGCATCTCTTACTTTCCCTGTAGCCTGTAAGTCCTTAATGAAGGCTGCTATTGCCCTTTGTTCTCCTAGAATTAGTGCTTGTTAGACCACCTGGGAGGGCACAGGGAGACAAGTTGGGTAGTGACTTACATTTCCCACTAGTATTTCTCTACATGTGGCTCTTCTGATTGCTCTGGCACTTATGGAATGAAGATGAACAAGTATGTAACACAATAATTGCTACTACACATCCAGATATAGAAACAGCAGTATATTCAACTGACCTACAGAGCTTCATCCAGAATGTTACGTTAGTTCCCTTCCCCATTGTGAACCTTGCCAAACCCCATAAGCAGAATCTAAGTGCCTTTGCTTTCCACAGGTGCACATAAGACAGAGACTTGTGCACCCATATCCAATAGAGCTATAAAAGATCGTGGCTCTACCCTCTCTGAAATTCCCCAGCAAACTTGAATGGCTGTATAGAGCCTTCTATCTCCTTCAGGGACCAGGAGACCTTGGCTCCATCTCCAATCATGTGTCTCCTTAAGCAGCTGGGATTAGGTTAAGGTGGAAGGGAGGTGACATGGGGTGCAGAAGGAGGAAGCAACTCCATGCCACTTAACCATGCTTCACATTTACTTTCGGTTTTGAGTGGTGTAGCAACTCATGACTCAATCCAATGAACTGTTGCTGTTGGTCTTTCCAACACACTATGTTAGGCAACCAGGTCTTCATAGCTGACAACTTTTACTTCATCTTTGGGAATGCCTTGACAGCAGCCCTATCTACACTGCTTTCTATAAAGGAACATGAAGTTTGTGTGTCCCTCAGATAACTTGGAATTGGTTTGCGTAGCAGTGAGCTACTCTGTGGTATCTACTTCAGTCCAAGGCATCTGCTGTCCCATTACCATGATGATATCTCATAAATTCTTGCCTGTTTTCAACATAGAGGCTAGAAGAGTTACCCAGAGCAAGCCAACTGCAAAAATTTATCTGTATTTCTTTGGTTTCGTTTCTCATTTTTAGGGTATCACCTTCATCAGCTTTGTGTTCCCAACTGAGGGCAGTGAGAGCCTGAATACTAGTCAAAGTCCTGGCATGTTTTCCCACAAGAATTCATCTGCTCCAGGGAAATCTCCTGGGAGGACCAAAACTATGTTATAGCAGCCAAAACTCACCACAAAAAAACAGATATTTTACGGTTGTTTTGAAATGGATGTAAGATTGACACTATATACTGCAGAGTAGTTGGCCATAAGATGGCCCAGCTGTTGCCACTGTTCCTTTACAGATATCACACAGTCTGTACACTCATCTCCCAAGCAAACCAGCCAAAGTTCTAATGATTCACTTGGTTTCTGTCCATGGCAGTCATGAATTCCTGTTCTGTCATCCTCAGTGTAGGTCTGCATCTCTGTAATTGTTGTCAAAGAGCAGAATCTTCTCACTGAGGACAGACCTTGGTACCAATTGTTAAAATGGAACAGATCATCAGATTGGCAAGGAAGTCTTCCCACCTGGAGGATAATTAGCAACAACCAGGGCACTGTTCAGGCAGCTGAATCTGTTTCCCCACACTTGGCTTGCAACTACCTCTCCAATTCCCCCTCATTAACAGGCAATGAACTGGAGGACTATTTATTGCCCGATCATCATACAATTTGGTCAGCATATTCACCTACCAATTCCCATAGGATTCCCCTAAATCCAATTGATCAGACACAAAGTCCTTGTCCTGCTTCTTTCAGAAAGCCACATCTGAAAGTATCCCATCTTGTCACCAAAGCTGTTAAGAACTTGCCCTACGTATAAGCTAACAACTTAGCCTGCCATGGTTCCGAGCATGCTGATAGAAGACATGAGTTTCTTGAGTCAGAGACAAAGGACAGATTATTACTTAGAGCTATCAAAGTAACTATCGGTTCCTCAAGCCCTAGTTCCCACAAGGGGATCTGAAGAGGGCTGGATCACAACTGCACATGCAATGGATTACTTTACAGGAAAGGAATCCTTGCGCCTCTCACAAGATGTGCAGAGAGGCAAGAGAATCAGAGAGTGGTTTTCGACAATCAGGAAAAATTTATGTAATGAGGTTCATCACATATTAACTATTGGCACTGATAATTTCTGGGTGGTGGCTTCATAGGCTCTTATTTTTTATGTATTTCTTTTGGTGGGGGGACTGCTTGAAGAATCATAAGCACACATCATTTTCAACTCTGTGCTTTAAAAAATTCATTATGAACATTCCGGTCAAGATAATGAGTTTTGTAAAAAACTTGAGTTTTTACAAAGCTCCTATGATATGAGCAGAGAAAATAGAGAAAACTCTGTATGCATTTAAAAATCTGAGAAGATTACTAGTTAGAGTTAGGGCAGGAATTAAGAGTTCCTCTAAAATGGTTCAACTAAAGAAACTTTAAAATAAATGAAAGGTGTGTGTACAGATAGGAAACCAATAAGGGATTTAGATAGCAACAGTGCAATGTTACCACTCCAGCCCGAGCCCAGTGTTAGCTGGAGGCACAGAGGTGGGGCCCCCCAGTAGTAGCTGTGCATGTGAAGGAAAATTCATTGTAAGAATCAGCACCAATAGGAAGACAGTGGGACAGAAAACCCCAACCTTTCTCTTCCCTCCTCCCCTCCAATGACCTGCCATGCCTGCCATGTGCTGGACATAACTAGAAGTCAACTAGAAAGAGAATCTAGTGAGGCAGCTCATAGGGTATGGGCAAAGATAAAAATGGTTAGAAATTTTAAAATGATCTATTTCAAAAGAAGGTCTATTAGGACCAATTGGAAAAGTTCCCTTTACTCCAAAAATCATGGGAACTATTTTTATCTTTTATAGTCTCAATTAGTTTAAAAATTCATTGTATCTATGAAGAAAAAGCATATAGATTAGAAAAACTTCAAAGTGAAAAAACTGAATTAAAAAAGATAGAGGATAAAATAATTGTAAGGTGCATTTCACACACATGGCTTACGTTGATTCAAAGTGCAGAATAATCAAAGACAGAGTCTGGGAGATCATGGCATATCTCCCATCTGTCCATCAGGCATTACTCAAGGATTAAAATTTCATAAATAGAATTCACAGCTTCGTGAAGGAAATGAAATTTAATGGGTGAGCAGATATTAGTGATATTGCATATATCACTTCCTGCCTTTGATCCTAGAATCTTTAAATTCAAGAGACTCAAACATAATGGGAGTCTGATCACTACTCTTATGGGATGTGGAATTAATCTAGCTGCCTGATGCCTGGTATTTTCTATGCTAGAGCTAGGTAGATTATTCTCCTGAAGAGTATTAAAATAATTTGCATTTCCTATGACCAGGTGATTTTGATTAATCCATACGAAGAGGTCCAGAGTTATAATATATTCAGAGATTCTAAAAAATGCAATACCCTGCAGTATTTGTAACTAATGAACTAATTCAAAAAATATTTGTTGAGTGCCTATCATGGACTTATCACTATTCTACATGGTAAGACACTGTGGTAAGAATACTAGTATATCACTACCATCTAGAATTAAAATCGAGTGGAAATGACAGACAAAAAACAAGTAAGCAAACAAGTAAGTAATATGACACCAGGTAATGAGACTTGAAGAAAAAGCAATAGGGATGGGGTGATTGGGTGATTATTGGTCAGAGAAGCCCCCTCTAAGGAGGGAACAGCTGAATAGGGACTTGATGTGAATAAAGGAACCCTGAGAAGATCTAGGGGGAAAGCATCCCAGTTGAGGAGAATAATTGTGGCACTACTGCTAAATGACTGCACAATAACCACTCCCCATACTATCTTGTTTCTAACAGAACCTGAATTTTGTTTGTAACAGCAATGTTTATAGTACAAAATTCTTCTTTGAAGCTAGAGATAGTCATGTGATCCAATTCTACTCAAGGAGACACAAAATCTACTGGGAGATTACTGGTTAAACTTCTGTTTTTTTAATTTATTTAATTTATTGGGGTACAGGTTTCAAGCGTACAACTCGATAAACATGATCTACACACTGTATTGTGCGCCCATCACCTTAAGCAAAGTCTCTTTCTGTCCCCATTTATTTCCCCTTTGCCCATCTACTCCCACCCCTTCTCTCTGGCTATCACCAGCTATTGTCTGTGTATATGTTTTACACATATACATAAATTGTTTTTTTGTTCAATCTCTTTATCTTCTTTCATCCAGTCCCCCAGCCCTGGGCAGGTAGCTCAGTTGGTTAGAGCATCATCCCAATACGCCAAACTACTGTTTCTTTGTAAAAATAAAAGGGAGCAGTTGGAAAAGAAATACTTGATTGTTCCACCCCACATTCTTTCACCTGCCTTGATACATCTATGATGCCCAGAACTAAAGCAACATCTTATAATCATGAAGTGTCAAGCATGAGCATAAAAAGAGGAGGAGGAGGAGGGGAGAGGAAAAAGGGAGGAAGAGGAGGAAGAGGGGGAGGAGGAGGGAAGGGGGAGGAAGAGGAGGAAGAGGAGGGGGAAGAAGAGGAGGAAGAAGAGGAGAAAGAAGAAGAGGAAGAAGAGAAGGAAGAAGAAGTGGAGGGAGAGGAGGAGGAAGAATGTAAGAAAACAAAAGAGGTTCCTGGGTATTTTATGACACTGTTAAGCCATTGAGTCAATGCCCAAAAATCCTCACCTCATGACTTCATTACTCAGGGCCCAATGGCATTTTGAGTAAAACGTGGTTTCAAGGTCTAGATCACAGGATGTGGCTGTAAGAACTGTTGTTAAGACCTCAAAAAAAGATTTAAGATGGTATCAAAGACCAACTCAGCTAGACAAAAAATATTCTAAGTATCTTCGGGTGCACAGACAGGAGAGCTTCTAAGATTTTTAAGGATACGGTGCTATAAAGAACCTTGACTATGAGCCAAAGGAAAATAGCCTGTCTTGGAAGATATTTAGAGATGTAACATTTGGCTGGGGTCATAATTTGACACATAGGAAGCTCACAAGATCTTTAAGATAACCATAGCATCTTGGACTGAAAGGAACAGAGACAATTTAAAGTGAAAAGAGAGTGTCAAACTGCATCGGGAAGGCCGGGGAGGGTTCGGGGGCGGGAGGTAGGGGGGTAAGAGATCAACCAAAGGACTTGTATGCATGCATATAAGCCTAACCAATGGACATAAGACACTGGGGAATAGGGGAGGCTAGGGGACTGTCTAGGGCGGGGAAAAAAATGGACACATATGTAATACCCTTTGTAATAAAAAATAAAATTTGAAAAAAAAAATAAAAAATAAAGTGAAAAGAGGGTATGAACTTACAGCTTTCTACAGACAAGATATGAGCTACAAAACAACTCAGTTACAAATATAAGCTCATTTTTAGGGGGAAAAAGGATCATTCAGAAGGTAAAGCCAAGTCCCAAGGACAGAGCCAGGAGTTTGAGTTGGTATGGCCCACTCACCGCCTTCACTTTCCCCTTCCTCCACCTTCAGAATATGGCAGTTTCCTGACCCTGTCTCACTCATGTATGCAGGGGACAGATAACTGGTATCTTCAGTTCACAGAGAAGCCATACTCAGGAAGCCTCTTTCTTGAGGCTGACTTACATGTTGATCTGATTTAGATGTTGAAATTCTGTATCTCAAGCCTAAACCTGGTGCAGTAGAGTATGAGACTAAGGATCTTGGAAAAGCAAAGTGATCAGAGATACCAGTAATAGAAGCTAGTCCCATAGGTTGTTGTAAAATTCAGCTGAAAGTATAACAACAATAACAAAATGTAAATTTAAAGAATACTTAGAAGCCTGGAAAGTTATTTCAGTGTAAATTTTTAATAAAACTGTTATACGTTATTTTTCCTCTTTCCTTGATGAGTATAAATAGGGTAGGAATGTTTACTATACTTAGACACACTTCCGCTTGGAGACATTTTCAATTTATTTGTATTTAATTTGTTATTTTAAGTGAATTGATTTGGTTTTTCCCAGTCTTATACTTCTAAGATGAGGGCAAATACCCTCTTCCTTCTAGCTAAGCTTAGATTGCTATTTTCCCACCCAATTTCTGTTGGAGATGAATTTAAATTCCCCCTTTATTCTACTTGGATTTACTATTAGCAATATTTTTCAACATTACCTGTGATGTAGATGATTCTCGCTTTAAAATGCTTGGACGTTTATCCAATAATTTTCCTTCTGGTTGCAAGGGTTTGGTATGCAGTTTTCTGTCTGTTACAGGTTCATATTGGTGTTCCTCTAAAGGTATCATTTTGTTCCCTTCGGTTATTGTCAGGTTAGGAATAGTGAACAATTGAGCAGCTCCTTGTTTTGCTGGTTCATCCCTTTTAGGACCAAACGCCTTTGAGTTATCTCCATCCTGCTGGTTCAGAGTTGGTAGAGTCAGGCCTTTCTGATCATCATTACCTAGTAACTAAAAAATATATCCATAAAACAAGCTACCAATTAATCATTACTTACTAGAAATATTTAAAACTAATAAAACTGGACTTAAAATCATTTGTACCCTTATCCTTTATCATAACAAGTTACCATTAATATTTGTAAATTATTACAGTCCTTATAAAAGAACTGAGCAATTCTCTACTTGCCTGAAAACATGGACTATTCTCCATAACAATGATCATACTACTTTATAAATCAGTGGGTCTCATATATTCAGATGTTATAAATCAGCAACATCTCAAAAAAGAAGATAGTATAACATTTTACTGTTATACTATCACCAACATACAAAATAAAGGGCATTTTAACAGCAAAATAGTACAAGGAATGGTATCTTATAATAAAGGACTATTAAACTAAATAAATTGAGATGTATGAAAAATTCTCTATCTTTCCCCCTGCCCCCCTCTCTCTCCCTGGACTGAGGGAAATAGTACATATTAACTCTTCAACAGATATTTGACCCAAAGGTAAAAATCATCAAATCCCATTTGTCAAGTAATGGGAAGAATTTTTTATTTCTTATTGGTTTACAAAGGAATTCACTACTTTATGGAGTGTGCTTCTGTAAAATTAGATAAAAAGCAAATAATATCATGTGAACTCTATTTCTACTATAATATATAGATTATTATTACGTAGAGAAAAAGTAAAGAATGTGGTTAGGTCTGCGGCACCCATTTCTAAGGTCACTGTGCAGAACTTGATGCTTTTTCTTTTATGTGCCCCCCTTCTTTTTGTCCCCTATCTTCATAGATATTTTTAAATGTTACTATTTTATGCTAAAATTTCTCTTTTAAGAGTATAATTTTACTTAAGTAAGTCATGTAACTGTAACGATATTGCCATAACAAAAATAACAGGATAAACTGAATAACTTTTTGAGTGCTTTTATTTCCACCTGTAAATATTTCTTCGTTTATAAATATTTCATCCCTTTAAAAAATAATGACTATTAGAAGTTGTCTTCCAAGTTCCCTTACCTCAGCTGGAATAGTTTCAACTTCCTTATTTATATGAGAGATATCTGTTAAATTAACAGAATATTTTATTATATAGAAAATAAACATATTTTTATGTAAACTAATAAATTCTTATTATAATATTTTTTTCACCAAGAATGAAGAACAATTTAAATCAAGGTAGCTATTCAAACAAACACTATTTAGTAAAAACAGACTGATGAGTCTCTTGGAAGATCAGGGAGAATGTACAAGTGTGAAGGTAAAATGAAAACATGTAAAGTAATGAGATTTCAGATCCACCAATAAAGACATAAAAACAAGCATTCAGTGTATTTTGCTAAAAGTCAAAAGGAAATAAAATAAATCCCAGATGGTCAGTGTTAAAGTTGGGATTGGAAAAAGAGTGGCAAAAGACCATTCAAGAGAGGCTGAATGAAGCACTTGTGAACTTTTTCTAGAAATACGAAGGATACATTTTAGCAAAGAGAAAAAGAAAACCTGAAAGGAGAGAGAGGGAATAAAGAATTGAGATACAAAGGAATGAAGTCTAGCAAAAAAAATTTACATGGTCATTATTAGTGCATGACTGTGCTCAGCTCATTTTTCTGAGCCTTGCCTTTCTCACATATAAAATAAGCTAATGATATCTTGTAGGTGTGACACAAATATCTGTAAGATGTGAGCAACCATATGGTTAAATGCTCAAACTCAATCCTCACCATTTATTGGCTATGTGACCACTGATTGGTTTGATCCTCAGTTTTTCATCTGTCAAAATGTCATTAATACAGTCCTCGGGTTACGTTGGACTCGACGTACGTTGTTTCGTGGTTACTTCGCCATCTCCCATTTATTTATTAAAAAAAAAGTTTTGTCATTTTGACGTATGTACATGTGCTTCATGTTTTTTATTATTTACTTACCACAAGTAAAGGTCAGGAATTATCTTTCTTTTAAATTTGTTTTACTGTTTCACTTCATTGCTGCTGTGTATGTGCCCCCTGTGAGTGACGTAGGTGCTTATGTAGGTGGGTTCCGACTTACGGCGAAATCGCCTTATGTTGCGCCGTAGGAACGGATCTCTGTCGTAACCCGAGGACCTACTGTAATAGTTGCCCTCAATTGACTGCTGTGAGGATTGATTTATAGAACCCAAGTAAAGTGCCTATAACACTGTGATCAATAAATGTTAGCTATGCCCTCGCTAGTTTAGCTCAGTGGGTAGTGTTGGCCTATGGACCAACAGGTCATGGGTTCGATTCTGATCAAGGGCACGTACCTCCATTGCAGGCTCCTTCCTGGCCTGGGTCCTGGTTGGGGCTCATGCAGGAGGCAACCAATTAATGTGTTTCTTTCACATCGATATTTCTCTCTGTCTTTCCCCCTCTTCCACTCTCTCTAAAAATCAATGAATACCCTTGGGTGAGGAAATAAATAAATATTCGCGATAACTATAGGAAACCATAGGAATACCAAAAGGAAAGAAGTCACTAGATGATTCAATGGGACTTGAAATAAGCTCTTTGGATAAGTGGGAAAAATTAATTAAAAAAGGAAAGATGGCCACCACCAGTGAGTGAAAGAGGCAGGTATCCTTCTTAAGCAGTGACACTGCCGAGAGAAATGTGATTCCTCTGCACCTAAAAGGTGAATGTTTCAGGCGAAGGGTGAGCAAAAGATGCAGCAGCTCTGCCAGGCGGCTGACCAGAGGTTAGGAAAGGAATACAGAGGTGCCTGATGCAGCCAGGGAAGGAGAGGTAGAGAAGTAGAAAAGTCACCTGTGACCAGTCTTATAACAATGTACTTAATCCATACCTTCAGAATTTAAGATGTTAAAGATATGGTATTATGCATCAATTTTAACTTTCTAAATAAAGCTTTTTACAGAGATCTTTTTCAAAAAGATTGCATGACAGTTTTTTCCATTAATTAAATATCTTACTGATAATTGTGGTATGTTTGCAAATTTAATGCTAATTAATTCATTCCCCCCTTTCTCTTTCACACACCACACACACACACACACACACACACACCTCTACATAAGAGAGACAATAGCTCTACAGTTAACAATGTTTAAAATTCCTGTTCATAGGTCATAGTTAAAATTTAACTTTTTTCTTGTCCTTAAAATAGGAAAGGAACATTAAAAATTAAAATAACTGAATTAAGTCTAAGTCTTTTATTTGGAGTGTTACAAAAGAAATACTATGTACTTAAGCTATAATGAAAGGCATATTTATTCCCTATAAAAATATGAAATCCACTTAAAGCAAATTACTAATTTTATATTTGTGATATAGCTACCCTGTTTTTAATTATCTTAATAATAAACATAAAAAGTAAACTAGTTTCTTAACCTGATGTTACAGTATCTTCAGGCTTCTTTTCAAATTGGCTCTCAGGTACCTCATAGATATTACTTCCCTAGAAGGAAAAAAAAATGAAGAAAATAAATATATTAGACAAATGTTTAAAGAGCTAAACATTTTTCTCTGCCTTCATAACTTTTAATACATATTTTTAATGTACAGAAGACAAGAAGGATATGGGTCTGTGAGAACAGCAAACCGAACAGCACCATTTTAAAGAGGTGGATCTGGCTAGGACTTGAAAGTCCAGGGAGAGGAAACCCAGGAATTGATAGGGTATTTAGTAATGATGATTGTATGAGAGAAAAAGATTATAAGATAAATGACATAATGTAACTTCAAGGACTGTGAGAGAAAACAGATGACCTTTTTATTAAAATACATTAAGGCCTATGAGTTGATAAGTGATGTGGATCTTTACAAAATTCCAAGAAGAATTATAAGGTAGAGTAATCACACTTATAAAGTACTGATTTTTCAATAAGAACCCAAAGTCCATAGTCCCTTTAATAAAGAACCCCCAAAACTTTCCTAAAATATCCATTCACTTTGGTAATGCTAATCAATTTATTCCATAGCAGCAGAACTCTGCCCAATTATAGCAGAGGTATTAAAAATCATGAATATGCTAATGTGTTATAACTACCATTTCATTTCATTGGTTTACCTCTCTACTGAAATCCCTGTGAATCCTTATTGCCAGATAAAAATAGAGGTTAGATTACATTTCTAAATATTAAACCTTACTTATATATCTGATAAGGGTCTAAATTTGTAAAGAACTCTTACAACTCATCAATAAAAATACAAATAACACAGTTTTTAAAATTAGCAATGGATTTGAATAAACATTTATCCAAAAAGACATACAAATGACCAGTAAGCACATGGCAAGATGCTCACATCATTGGTCATTAGAGAAATGCAAATCAAACTTCAATGAGATACCACTTCAAAATCACTACAACAGCTATATTTTTTAAAAAGGAAAGTAAGTGTTGGAGAAGATGTTGAGCTCTCATGCATTGCTAGTTGAAGATAAAATTGTGCAGCTGCTGTGGAAAGCAGTTTGGTAATTCCTAAAAAAGTTAAACAGGGAATTACTATGTGATCTAGCAATTCCACTCCATGTATATCCCCCATCACCACCACCAAATTAAAAACATATGCTCACATAAAAACCTGTACATAAATGTTCATACGCAGCATTATTCATAATAGCTACCAAGTGGAAACAACCTAATGCCTATCAGCTGAAGAATAGATAAATAAAATGCTGTATATCTATACAATGGAATATTATTTGGCAATATAAGAACTAAAGTATTGATACATGCTACAACAAAGATGAACCTTGAAAACACTATGCTAAGTTAAAAAAGCAAGTCATATATTGTATGATTTCATTTATAAAAAATCTCTGAAACAAGCAAACCTACAGAGGCTGAACATAAGGCTAAGGAACATGGGAACTTGAAGGATGTAGTCTAAGAGGTGTGGGTTTTTTTGGGGGGAGGGTAATGAAAATGTTCTAAAATTGATTATAACAATGGACACACAACTCCGTGAATATACTAAGGGTGACTGACTTGTACACTTTATTATATTTTTAAGTAATCTTGTATTGATGCTTTGAGAGAAGGTAACATTCTTTTTTGTCTTAAAATGTTTTTTTTATTTTTATTGATTTCAGAGAGGTTTCAGAGAGGAAGGGAGAGGGAGAGAGAGAGAGAAACATCAATGATGAGAGAGAATCACTGATTGGCTGCCTCCTGCACGCCCCCTATTGGGGATCGGGCCCACAACCCAGGCATGTGCCCTTGACCAGAAAGGAACCCGGGACCCTTCGGTCCACAGGCTGACACTCTATCCACTGAGCCAAACTGGCTAGGGCGAATTGTACACTTTAAATGGGTGAATTATATACTATACAAATTATATCTCAACAAGCTGTTAAAATACTAAACCTTATAAATTATAAATCAAGATTTATTGAATGTCACATTATCAAAGTAGTAGAGTGCATGAACCATAAATAACATTTTTTATATCAAGAACATAAATAATTCTTGATCATCACTTTTAATTATCATCATCTTTTAAAATAAAAATTATTAAAAGTTCTATATGGGAGAACATATTATGTTAATTACCTTAAGTTCATTAGGTCCCGATTTGGGGTTAAGAATTCCTTCTAAATACGAAGCTTTTTCTCTCCATGTAGGCAGATCTCTATATTCTTTTTTCATTTTTTCCAGCCTAAAGAAAGGAAAGACAGAGTTATAGATTTAAAAAGCAAGAAAAATATGGTAGATTCACAAAAGAATACATATAGTATGATCCATTTTTAAAAGTTCTAAAAGAGGCAAACCAATAATATATTGTTTAAGAATACATTGGACCTAAACTATATAGTATATCGGATTGGCTTAACAGTTACAAAACATTCCATCCAACAGCAGTAGAATATACATTCTTCTCAAGCACATATGGAGTATTCACCAAATTAAAATCATATGCTTACATAAAAATGTGCACATGAATATTCATGGCAGCATTATTCATAATAGCTGCCAGATGCAAATGCATATCTTCTTTGAAAGTATATACACCCAAAAGTCTCAAATTAGTTCTATAAATTTTCAAGTACAATGTTTGGCACTTGATAAAAACAACTTGGTATATGATAAGATTTGACAGAAAACTATAAGAAAAAAGTCATTAATAGAAACAAACTTACAGGAGGAGATCCAGATAATGGAGAAATGATTAATATATTCAAAAAAATTAAGAACTACAACTGAGAACTTTGGTAGAGAAATGGAAACTATATAATAAAGGGAAATTCCACAACCAAGAAGAAGAAAACTGAAATTAAGAATTCAATTGGTTTAACAGCTGATTAGGTACAAAGAAGAATGAACCAGTGAACTGTAAATAGGTCAGAAGAAAATACCTAGACTGAACTACAGAGCAGAGAATGAGAGGCCTAAAGATTCCATTGTTGAGTCAGAAGGCAGAGCAAATATTATATTTCCTCCTGTGAAAGAATTTCAATCTAAATGGAACCAAAGGATACAAAATGAAAAATCTCACCAATGTGAACTCAGAAAAACAAAATTTAAGGACTGAAAAACTGATTTCCTATAAATCCCTAATTTACAGAAAATTGAAAATATTGGAATTTTCTTAAATGATAGGAAATTAGTCCAGGGTTGCCTCACTCATATCAACCTGGGAAGTTTTATGGTTCCCAGATCATGAACAAGAAATGACCCAAATCAAGTTGGTTTTGCAAAATAGTTAAATTGAGCTGTTTGTATGACTGGCTGACTGGTTTTCTCAGTTCAGGGAATTTTCAAAGCTCGTCTCCATTTGTTTTTTATTTTTCTAAACTCTACATTCCCTGTCCATAAATACAGTCTACCCCAAACCCTCAAATGACTTACTTATAGCTTGTTACAATTTGCATGTCCTCTGTTATTCCTGAATAAGCTAATCTTTTTGACAATTTTTACCTAGCCTTAGTTTATCTCTTTATTTTCTTTTTTAAAAAATTTATTTTATTGATTTTTTACACAGAGGAAGGGAGAAGGATAGAGTTAGAAACATCGATCAGCTGTCTCCTGCACACCCCACAGTGGGGATGTGCCCGCAACCAAGGTACATGCCCTTGATAGGAATTAAACCTGGGACCCTTCAGTCGGCAGGCTGACGCTCTATCCACTGAGCCAAACCAGTTAGGGTGTCCTCTTTATTTTCTTGACACTACCTTATGAGTTCTTATTTCTTTTCTTGCCATAGCACTGACTTTTTAAAACACCTAAATATGATAAGCAAAACTCAGATATAGCCTCTGAACCCATGAAATATAACCACGATGAAGATTCAGATTAATAGCAAGCCCATGCCTCAAAGGAAAATATTAATATACAAGTAACACATACATAATATTTTAAATATTTTTTATTTTGTTTTTTACCTTTCCCGAGGTTGTTGCTGAAGTTTTTCAAGTCGCACTGCAGGGGGCTGGTTGGGTTGGGCTTCCGGAGGTGGCATCCCAACAGTAACTTTCAGGTCTGGGGATAAGAATGCTGGATATTCTATTGACTGTGGTATAATAATATTTCTGCAAAATGGCAATAAAGTTAAATATTGAAATTATACAAAAGTACACTTCTAAAACCGCTGGTAGCTATCACTTTAGAATCCTTCTCTTTTTTACACTGTAAGCTCACCCTGTCTACCTTGTGCCATCAAAGGACAAGCTAGAAAAGAAGACAAAGTCAGAAATCCCCAGTGAAGTGCTCTATGAGTACTCCTACTACTAAGATCATGGGCAGCAGAGTGGGAAGGAAGGACCTAAAGTTCTAAAGAGAAATAGAAAGTGTTTGAGCCTGGACCTCACTCCTAATCTCTATCTCATGGCCCAGTCAAATTGATACATAAAATTTAATACCACATCCACCTTTTGCCAACTTGGCACCCATAAACATTTTCTTAAAACATAGTCACCAACTGAAAACAATAACAAGGTCATAATTCCTCCTAATCTGCTACAACTATCCTACACACAACCAAAAACTCACTAGCCTCTTCCTCAGAAGAGGAGGTGCAAAGTCCTTTACCCTTCTCCTCGCTATCCTGAAACTTAAATTCTATAATGCAAGGTTAACAATTTTTCATTATTATGATGTAAAGACAATATATCTTATGTTAAATGATAAGAAGGTAAGAGAGGGAACAAAATAAAGATATTTGAGAAACTAAGATGGCGGCATAGATAAACACCGGGAAATTGCTGCCTCCCACAACAATTGAATAATACTTCAAAAACACAAAACGGACATCATCCAGAACCACAGGAAGGCAGGCTGAGTGTAAATTCTACAACTAGAAGGAAAGAAAAGCACACTGAGAGCCAGAGGAGCTGCGGAAGTAAAGTGCAGAGGTAAGGGGCTCGCGCGCGGAAAGGGTCTGGCACCTGAGGACGTGGCTGTCTTTTTGAATCCGGAGGGAGTCACAAGCTCCCGACGGCTCTGATCTCCGGTACCAGGAAGTCTCTGGGGACCCAGGACTCATATGGGAAGAAACTGGACTGTCTGGCAGCGGGCGAGCTTGAGGGTGGCTTTCTCTCAGAGGTGCTTGCAGCTGTTACCAGGACAATGAGACATGGGGCCTCTTAGGGTAGGACTGGGGAGCAGATGTAGCTGCTTGCTCCATCCTGTTGATCCCCTGAGACACCCCCACACCCAAGGTGTGCACAGAGGCTTTTGCATATGAAAGGCCTGGCCCTTTGCAAATTGAAATTACCTAACTGCAGCTGGGCCAGACAGACCCAGAACTTCCAAGAGAAGGCCCAAGCGCCCACC